TGGTATTAATGTTTCTTGTTTTTATCCATTAATGTTTTCTTGTTATTATTAATTATGAATCAGGTGATTTGCGAAAAAATATTTAAACGAAATAAAAATTTATACGAGCATATAAGAAACGTTCATTAAGCTGATGTAAAAACTAGAAGTTTGAAATGTCCTATGAATGGGAATATTTATTATAATCAAAAAGTAATAAAGACAATATTCACATTTTGAACAGTTTTGTGGTAATTTTTATTAGAATCTAAGTAAGTGATATTGAACAATACTGCTTTTACTTCATGGGCAACTGGGGCTGATCTAGAAATGCAGGGGGGGGGAGGCTAAGCACAGAATTTTGGTCATTACTTTGAACTAAATTTAAATGTTGTTTGATTATAAAGTTTTTAAAATTATTCACAACACAACTAAATAAAGATGTATCAGTAAATTTGAGCTTATATTTTTATCAACTTCGTTACTTCATAACTGTAAAAGATAATTCTCAAAAATATAAAAAAAATAATTAAAAAAAGCGTATTTGTAATATTGTATAGTATTCATCATATTTATTTATTTTAGCTTTCATGAATTTCAATCAATTAAAACAAAAATACTGTCTGAAATACTCAAAAGGACATTTACCTTTCTCCCCCATCCTAACGACGACATAATATTATGTTAACATTTACAAGGAAGAAACAAATCCCGAAGCACATGTTAATAGAAAATTTGTCGCCAAAATCATACAAACACCAGCCAATAGCCACCATCTCCCTTCCCCCAAACAGTTATGTAATTTTCGACCAATAGCCTGATCCGGCCCAAGTGAGTATTAATCGCTCGTTAAGACACGGTTCCCAGCAGATCACCGAAGTCAAGCATCACTGGCTACGGTCAGTGTGCGGGTGGGTGACCACTTGGATCAGTCTGCGTAGAGACTGAGGGTGTGCTGTATGCGAATTGCCAAACCATACCATAGATTATAGAAGGGTTGGCGAAAATTTCTATTGGTGTTAAAAGAGCGTTCTCGCAAATCGCCTAACAGCTGTGTGCTCATGTTTTTGTTTTGTTTTCGGTATCACGTATCTATCATTCACCAAGTTATATATGGGTGCGAGATTTCAGAGTTTGAAAGAAGCTGATCTTCATTAGATTCTTCTGCATTAAATGAAATATCAAGCGCATTTTTTTGTTATAGCGCCGGCATAATCGTTTGTATCTGTTAACATAATTGTGTTTATTAGCGTTTTTTAGATGGTCGTAATAAAACTAAGATAAAAAAAATTATGTATTATTACCTCTATAGCCCCTTCTATATTTTCATAACTTTTATTAAATGTATTTCGAGTAGTGAACTTCTTTACCTACTCATCCACTAATTAAAATTAATAATTTCACAATAACCTTTAATCCTTAATAATGAAATGATTATTACAA